AATGCAAGAAAATAAAGTAGAAAAAATGATGAGATTAATCAAAATTCAATTTAAATTTATTTATTTAGATATTGTAGTCAAATGTGTCAAACAATGGATGCTGATATTCATTCAATATTTTGTAATCCGATTAATTCAAAATAAAAGTCATTCATGTATATTTGATTTTTGTTGTTTTTTTGTTTTTTATTATATAGTCATGTTTTACAACAGGAATAGAAGAATTTTATTGTTGTGTGTACGTAGATGTTTTTCTTTTTTTCTTTTTATAATTAGAAATAAATAATTGGAGTAAAGAAAAAAATGTATCATTTATTAATAATTAGTAAAAAATTCTTGTCAGGTGAATTGACATAGGATCGTTAGACTTCTATGAATAATATATGGAGTAAGTTCAAAAATTTGTTAGATTTTAGTCAAAAACTTTGATTTCATTTTCAACCTTATAATTGGCATTACAAACTTTCAAATCTTTTCCACAGAAAAATCCATTTAAGGGTACTCCTCCCCCTTTCCGAAGTTTCTTGAGAACGGCTTATCCAAAAAAATTTGAAATTTGCAGGGCAAATAGATCTTGATGAGTATAGCAAAAGTTGTCATCGATTCAAAATTCCCAGATGCTGTCTTCTATGAGATAATAGGGTCACTATGGCGAAAAATGGCAGTGATTTTAGGCCCTGTTTCTACAAGACGGTATTTTCGATTGAGTTGAAATTTTTTTTATGGATGCTAGACACTGTTTGGAGTGCATAGTTTTTTTGGTTCCTTTTTATCTTTTGTCGTTTCAATAAAAAAGTTAAAATATCTAGCCTACCCTAAAAAACACTTGTTTTTTTTTCACTAGAGCAAATTTTCTGAAAGCTACCAAAAATCACGACAGCAATATTTCTTTAAAAGAAAAAGAAATACTCACCTCAAATAGTACGTAGAATATGTGAAAAATTTTTCAGCTGGATTTCTCTTATCATGTTGGAGAAACGGGGGTGGAACAGTATTTTTTTCTGCTAAAAATTTGATTTTGAGAAGCAAAAAAATATAAAATTTTAACTATTTTCACTATTTCACTATGTAAATTTGGTTTCTTCTCGAATTTTTTAATCTTTAAAGGCAATTTCTGGGTTCCAAAATATAGTCAGTAGATAGACACTACTTGAAACTCTACAATGGCCACAAAAAACCGAAAATAAAAAAAAAACAAAAATTTTGGGCGAGGAAAGGGGATGCCCTTAAAATTAGATTACTTCATGAGTACAAGTTTTCATACCCATACTCATCCATTTCGCTTTCGTACCTAGGCATGAGTATGGATACCCTTTAATATATCAACAGAATAAATATCTCTGAAAATAGATAGTACCTGAAAGATCCATCGAGATTTGAATGATCGTAAGTTTTTGAAAATCTGATTCAGTCTTTGGTTATAAACATCAGAATAAAGATAGTTTTATATAAAGTATCTATCAACACTCGTTGTAAAAATCGTAGAATAGTGTATTAACGATGTTTCGAAAGATCTATAGTTATCATTTTTCCTAGTTTTGTAGGGTCGCGTTATGAAAATAACCTTAGTCAATTTTTTAAAACTTTTGTTGCCATAAAAACACATTTTGAAAAAAGCACTCATATATTCTGAGAGTGTTCAGAGTTTTCTATTGCCGTGTATGTTTATGTTTTAACTTGTGCCTACTGACTGGCAAATAAATCAATTGCAATGAAGGTACTTTCATCGTTAGATTCTCACGAACACAATTTTTGTCACTGTCTTATCAATTAACTTTTTAAATTTATCATCACTATAGAACTCTTTCTTGTCTTGTATGTAAGTTTAGATAAGTAATATGATTATAAAGTAAGCATGGTCAGTGAGAGTCTACTCAAAACTATTTTATTCTATTATCAGAATCCTTTTTATTTCAAATTTAGTATTTTTACAAAAATGTAACTACATATATTGGTAGAATTTAGAATTCTTTGTCATTCTAACATACAGATTTTTAGAGTTTGCCAACAATTGTGTCAGGTAATATTCATCTTATTCATCCGAATACAAATATAAGATGATAGAGAATTTCAAACTGTATCAGAATATTTAATTACTTTTTCTTTTATAGAGAACTATTCTTATAATGATAATAAATTTAAGAAGTTAATTGGGGAGACAGTGACAAAAATTCAGTTCGTGAGAATCTGGCGATGATGATGTCGTTATTGTTGTTGATAGATTTTCTAGCCAGTAGATGCAAGTTAAAACATAGATATGCAAGATGATAGAAAACTCCAGGCGCTTTCAGAATATATATGAGTATTTTTTTTTAAATATCTTTTTATGATGATAAAAAGATAAAAAGATCGACTAAAGTTATCTTTTTCCAGGGAAATATATGACACTATTTTTGATGATGAAAAATTTGTAAAAATAAACAAAAAAAAATCGATTATATCACACGTTATAATTTCGATACAGATTTTGTTGTCAAATTATTTCAGATCAACCATAAATTGATTGATGATTTTCTCATTATAATATATATATATATATATTTTTTAAATTAATTATTCATTTGAATAGTATCGGTGAATTTTTCTGCAAATAAATAAAAGATTCATACATTGTTTAGGAAAATTTCAAACTTCAATCTAAAAACACATTCTATATATGATGTTGAATTTAGATTATGTTACATGCTATCAATGAATAGAATCGGTTATTTACAATCGATGTAAAGAAAATTATTCATGTGTAAACAAATGAAATATTTATAAAATTAAGATCGATATACAGTCAATCAATAATTTACCTGAGCGTAATTGACTCATTTTGATTTTGTTCTAGAGGTAATTGAGTAAAAATTCTGCATAGCCTAGGTCGATAAAACTAATTTTTAAAAAAAAGTGATCATATCAAAATAATATTTAAAAATAACGACATAAGCAAGTACGAAAGGAAGTAATATCGAATAATGACTTGACAAATTGAGATATTGCTAATATTTACGTTTGCGTTGCATTAGAATCGATAGTTAATCTAAAATAACTCGATTACAGCATAAATTCTATCTTTTTCATGTACCTATTGTGTTATAAATCCTATTAATAATATTTACAGCAACACGAAAATTACATTTGTTTTTGAAGATATTTTTCTTTTTAGAGTTTATGGATAAAAATAATCTAATAAACACGATATAAAATAATGAAAATTTTTGTATCTTGATCTTTCAGTAAAACACTTCAAAATATGTTCATACGGGATCTATAAATTTTTTCTATTTATTTAATCAATACATGCAATATATTTTCTCTGACAAGATTTTGCTTTGATTAATATAATATACATAAGACACTAAAAAAGTGATTTTCGTTCGACTCTCATAATAACCATAATTTGAATCCAACTGTTCTATTATACTACTTAGATATATTAGGATTTTGTGCCAAATTTCAACTTGTTTATTTTATACGTCGTTATATTTGTTTCATTTCTTTCATATTAGTCATATATCATTTTCAGTATGGCCTCGAACTGTGTCTCAGTGCGAAGTAGACTATATAACATTAAACTGTTTGCCCTTTAAATAAAGAACATGAATTGGATGTAGATCTTCAAGAGTTTACCTAATTTAACCTAAAGAGGATTTCGTCATTGATATTAAAATTGTATTTACATGTAAAATCATTATGCAAAACTGTTCAAGTGAGAGTTCAAACTGTTCAAGTGAGAGTTCAAACTCATATCTGAAATATTGTTTGACTAATTTGAAAAAAAATAGAATAATGCATAAGATGTAAAAGTTTGAGGCTTTGCACATAATACTTAATTGGTTAAAGCATAATAATATAATATTTATACTCAAATTATGGTTGTTAGAAGAGTCGAACGAGAAAAAAAACATTTTTCTAGTATCACATGTTTAGTGTATTTTACTATCAATTATTAGAATTTCTTATAAAGTCTTTATTCATATTTTATTCTTTTATTTAATGAAGCAAAACAAAACAAATGCACACATATTTCAACAGGGGATATAGAAAATATCTATAAAAATACATAGAGAACAATTGATACAAATTGGGTTTTATGTACAAGTTATTCGGAAAGATACCTACCAAAAAAAAAGCAACAATATTTCACGTATCTCCATCATATTTTAAGAAAATTAACAATTGTTTTGACTAGTAATAGAGACGAGAATTCCAAGTTTTTATTGTTATAAAAAAAATTTATAAGTAAAATTTATAACTTTCGACCTTGGATAAAATATAAAAAGTTTTCTTTTCTTATTCATAAAAATTACCTGCGGAAAAGGTTCGTAAATGATCAACGACTTTTGACCCTGTATTTTTATTTCATGGTAGAGAACTACTCGACCAGAATAGTTGCTAAAAGGTTTTTACACTTCTTAAGTGTTAATCGAGATACGGAATTTTATTTTCTGAGATCGAATGAAGAAAAAGTAAATTTTTTCTGGATTTTTAATTGAAAATAATCGAAAAAGCAAACTAGAAAGATTAACAGAGTACAAACAAAATCAGCAAAACTTTCAAAAAAAAATAAAAAGTTCTGAAAAAAGCTTATTGAGATTTAAAAAACGCTAAACAAGTCCTATTCCGTTGCTTTGCCCGGTGGTAGGACCAAACATTTCCAAGCAAACAAAAAAATAATCTCATTATTGAATTTTGACTTAAAATTTTATCTACATCAAGCTTTCTTTTAGATTAGCTTGTATGTTAAAAGAATCATCAAATATAATCTCTGCAAGGTATAAATTTCTCAAAACCGAACTTTTTTTCATCGATGTTGCATAGAGTATAATTTTTGTCATAAGAATAATAACTTGAAATTCTCTTCTATTACTCGAAGAAAAAAAATTTAGGCTAGAGATCTATAAATAATTGTTTTTTTTTGTTCGATAACTTTACGAAATATTCTGTAGGTAGTGGACAAAAAGTCAAATGAAACAAGAGAGATTCAATAATGAAAAAGTAAAATAAACCAATATTTATATAATATGTTGTTCATGTTTTCGTTGTATTAAACGATAACATCTTGGACAATCTTGATCAATATTATCCCAACATTGTCTATGATATATATTTGAACACTGATCACATCGTCCGATTGTTTTTATATCATCAAACGGATAAAGTATATTCTTTCTATTTTTACATATTTCACAAATAAAACCTTTTTCAAGACAAATTAAACATTTATTTATGTGTTGTTTTGCTCGTATAATTGCTGCATTAAGTATTTGTAAAATTTTTTTTAAGGATAATAAATCATTTAATGAATATAAATGAATACTTTGATAAAGATAATCACGTGCATAAAATTCTTTTAAAAGTTTTTCATTTAATTCATTTTCAATACGTGTACATGTTGATAAATATGCATAATAATTTTGAAATTGTAAACGACTTATTCTTATTTCAGATAGTATTGGATGTAATACATATAAATTTTCATTATCATTTTGTATGTCAAATATTGGCTGATAAAAATTTGATTGAAGAATTAATTTAGCTCGACGACATACTGGATAAAGATGCATATCAAATGATTTAATTACTTTTGCTGGAATATATGCATAATCCATGATATGACAACGTGGACAATATAATTTACCATAATAATAACAACGACGTGCAGGTAAATTTGATATTGATGTAAATGGTTCACTACAACAATCACAAACATTATTTTGACTTTTTGGCGTTGTATATTGAAATTCTAAATAGAAAGATTTTATCATTATTATAGAAGTTTTCTTTTTTTCATTTTTCTCTAAGAGAAATGATTATGTGGGAAAAAATACCTTTGAAGTAAATAGAACTTTCTGGTGGTGCTTCGAATGAAAGTACTTCGAAACTATCATCATCGGTATCTGGATCATCAGTACTATTAATTGTTATATTTGTTGGAGTTTCATCAAATTCAGATTGATCTTGATCATTGAAAAGATCATCACTTGTTATTGATGGACATGATGAAATATCATTAATGCCTAAATGAAACGAGAGTTAGACAAAAGACAAAATTGAACAAAAATGAAAATAACTAACCTAATATCCAGTAATTCTTCGTTGGTGATAGTTCATTACCAAATGTAGAATCATAACCAGATGAATGTGATTGTTGTTGTGGTTGTTGTTGATTATTACCTAATGCTGTTGTTGATGGTTCAGGCACAGAAACAGGTTCACTGCTTTGTCTTTCACGATCCGTATTAAATATATCCGTTATAATAGCTGAAGTTGATGGTTCAAAGCAGAATTCACAAGGTGGAAAAGTATCCTGACAGATTGATCTTTCAATATACGAATCCATCTCACACGGTGACCAACACTGTTGCATTGTGGAATTTGATTGTTTTGGTGAAGAAGATAATGATAATGACGATAAAAGTTGACTTTCTCGTCGACGTAAAAATGATAGCTTAAAAAATAGAAGTCAAAATAAAAATTATTTTCTATTCATTTCAACAATTTCAAGATGTGTTTCATAACGCTGATGTAAAAAGAAAAAGTAAAAAAAACAACGTTGTCAAAAAGCTAACAAAATAAATGATATCAAACTTGTTCTTTGCTTTCTATTTATTAATCTGTTTAAAAATGTCTTTAGAAAAATGAAAACTTAAAAGATAACTGACTACCCTTAATTTTTATTATCAAATGTTGACTTACTCTGCGCAATGTACCAGACAGCAATTGCGTGTGTGCTTCGGTGACCGTAGGCCATATCTTTTCCAGTTCATTTAAAACTTCTTTTTTCATAGTTTTAATAACGTGTTTATTAATAGTTGCAAATTTTCACCTACGCAATATCATATAAATATGAGACAATAGAAAATGTTTTTTTTACGATACATACTAGTTGACTGTACTTCTATTAAAATGACTCAATGTTTTATACCAATGAATGTGATGAGAACGAGGTAGAGGAAAGCAAAATAAAAATACAAAAATATGACGAGTCATAGTCAGCAGATAGTTACGTCTCGCGTTCGACGAGAGCAAAGTTTATTCATTTTACTGCAATGATAATAAAATAGCAAAGGACGTCTGTTCTCAGAGTGCATTCTCTAGTCATAATATTTATTTCGGTCACATGATTCAGAGCTTTTTTTTTTATCGAGTCATTCATGAGTTTATTTCTACTGAGAGCAAGAAAAAAAATTAGGTAATTATTCGATACATCAAAAAAAAGAAAAAAAGGAAGTAGAAATAAAAATAAATCGTATTTTGGCACAATATATAGCATTCTCAATAGAATAACAATTATAACCAGAATCATTCAATAGCAAAAAAAAACAAAGAAAAAAAATATACCAAAAGCACACACCGGATGTGAAGAGAAAAAAACGTGTACAATGCAAAATCACCATTCCAAGAATAAAAAAAAAAAAGAGGAAAAGTTTAATAGACGAATATGTGTGTATGTGTTCATTAACGAAAGACTAAACATTTCTTGTTTTATAATGATAAGAATAATAAAGCATAGCAGTATTATCTGGCAAAATGAAAATAAGAAAACTAAATTAAAAAAATAAATAAATAAACAAAATGAAATATCCTTTTTGTGTTGTTGTTGTTTGTTTGTTTTGGTTGCTATTGGTTTCTCTTGTTTGTTTTTTTTGTGCCCTATTGAAGATGATAACGATTATAAGATGATGGAACATATTTGACTGTTCGAAATGTATTAAATTTAGTTGGAATGATAAATTCACGAGTTAATTCAAATGGTTTTGACAATGTAGAATTTATACGTGAAAATTCAGATTGTTGTCGATTTATTGAAGGATTTATTATATTATTAGGTCCTATTGTTGATGGACGATTTTGATATAGAGCAGATGAACTCACCGGACGATTATGACTACTATTAGCAGCATGATTATAAGTATTTGTATAACTAGATAATGTTGTTGTTGATCGTGGAGGTAATGTACTTGTTGTTGAACGATTAATAAGTGAATTTTGACGTGGTGGTAATGATAATGTTGGAGATGATGAATGTAAAAAAGATGAACGCACTGGTGAGGAATTACCTATGATTGTTTTTGGTGATGATAATGTTCTACCTAGTGTATTATTATTTGTTGTTGGATTTTTTGACATTATTATTCTTGTTGGTTGTCGAAGTGGACGTGATGTTGGCATTGATAAATAAATATCAGGTACAGAACCAAATGATGTATTCACAAATGAAACGGATGTATAACCAAATAAAGATCTTTCATAAGCCATTAACTAAATAAAAGAAAAATACATATGATTGATATTTGTTTTCTTTTTGTGTGTGTATGTAGAAGAATGTCTAATAATTACTTGTTTAATAAAACCAAAATTTGGTCCAATAATATGTCGACGAGCACGTAAATAATGGAATGCTTCACGTAATGACATTTGTTTATGTTTCATTAAATAAGCTAAACAAAGAAAAACAAGAATTCAAATGATTGAATATCAGTTAGATTTATAATCGAAATGAATTCGGATCTTTTGTTCGAAAGACAAATTTTAATCTAATCTTCAGCTAGATTAATATATGCTAAATAAAAGATTTTCCTATTGTTTATTTTGTTAAAAGGATTCCGCATGATAAGATTGAAAATCTATATTCATTCCTTAGACTTTTCTTTAAATATATATAGCACGTTTTGGTATAATAAATTTGATATCTATCTATGATAAGAAACCGATATGGTTCATCAGCTTATGTATCCAAGATACATGCATATTGAAAATTGTGCTTCGAATGAATGTTTTCTCATCATAAATATTTTTTTGAGATAGAATACTGTGGTTAAATGTTTCTTTTCTCGCTCTACAAAAAAGACAAACATATCTAAACACGTGATAAGGTCTCTTTCTCTACTATGAAATATATGGGTCAAAATGTGATAATAACAATATTACTGTAACTAGCTCTTTATAGAGCAACGATTTTTTCTCTGCAACAAAAAAAAAAAACATTCGTGAAATTTCCTCAGAAACTGCGCTAATATTTTCTTCTACAATATTCACTTATTAAAAAAAGTTTGAAAATTATTCCAATGTGAAATTCTTCACATTTATATAATAAAACACTCTTTGTTCGATTAGTTTTCAGCTTGACTTCAGTTATTTGTATGAAAAATAATGCTCGAAATAAAATCTCAACATTAAAATCGAGTAGCATGATATATGTTTCGATGTAAAAGTATTATCCACAAAAAGACGTTTCCCGGGAAATCCAGAGAAAAATTTTCTGGAGGGAGTACTGGCACATTTTTATAGGAAACAATTTTTTTTTTCATCAAGACATATATCATTCTACTCGGTTTTAACATCGAAATTTAATTTCAAGTATTGCTTTTCGTACAAACAGTCAAAATTAACTGAACGAAGAGTGTTTTTTTATCAAATAAATGTGAAGAATTGCGCATTTGAATAATATTCGAACTTTTTTTCAACAAGTGAATATTGTGAAGGAAATATTAGCCCAGTTTCTGAAAAAAAGAACAACTTAAGTAATTAGATATGAGATCAGTTTGTGTTTTTTTGAAACTGAATTGAATCAATCTACTTTTTAAAAAAATTCAAACTGATTCAATGTCTCTAAGGAGTGTATGTTCTCTTGTTGCAAGGAAAAAGCGATTGCACTATCAAGAGCTAATTATAGCGATATATTTTCGACCACACTCTAATTCATATATTTTGCAGTGGAGATAACGAACTTATCAAGTGTTTATATGCGTCTATTGTTTTTTTAGAAGTGAAGAAAGACTCATTTAACAATAGTATTCTATATCAGCAATAGTTATGGAGAGAAAATATTTATTTTAAGGCCAATTGTCAACATACATATCTCTCGTGTGCATAGGTTGATGAGTCCAATCGGGTTCTTATTATTGATAGAAATCAAATTCGCTATGCTAACTTTTAGGAGGGTGGAGAAGCAAATTTTTCTATCTTATTGTGAAGGATCCTTTGAGAATAGCTTCGAACAAAACATTTATTAGATTAAAAATAACAAACAATAAAATAAGAATATCTATAATTTTAATTTATTTACCTAAAATAATAGTTGCTGAACGTGATCTACCAACATAACAATGAACAAGTGTTTTTTTTCCTTGTTGTACATTTTGATGTATACGAGTAGTTAATCGATCAAAATAAGGTAGTATTGATGTTGTTGGTAAATCAAGTATACTTACTTTTTCATATTCAACTGTTGGACCAAGATCTTGCATTGGACATTCGGATGATATATTAATAACACAACGAATACCTTTATTTAATATCGCTTGACGGGTTTCAAGACCAGATATATACAAATTATCAATAACTTCTGTAATACCCAACATATTCTATTTAGCAAACTTTATACACATATATACACATACACACACACAGACTTTTTTTTGTCTAAAATGGAAAGAAAATATTATTTTATTATTATTTTATTGTTTCATAATATTATTCTTTTAATCTTCTTCTTATGCACACACCGAGTTTGATACATAAATGAGATTAATAATTCGAAAACAAACGGAAGAAGTTACTCATCTGACGCCTAAAGAGAATAATTCTTGCAAAAAAAAAAGCGAACGAAAAAGAAAGAAAAGAGTATAAATGTGTCACATTAAAATAGGCGCATATCATTCTTTTCTTATAAATCATTCAAAAAAAATTATCAGAAAATAATAATTAAAAAAAAAAAAATATATATATATATATATATACTGTTCTTCTTATCTTTGTTTTTGTTAACATTAAGGTACTAATGGTTTAATAAAACTAGATCGATATGTTGTTTCATAATGTGAACGTTGTTGTTCATTATTTATTGTTGATGGATTTGATAATGTAGCCGTCATAGTTGTTGATTGATGAGAATGATTATTCCGTTGTTTTATATTTGGTGAAGTACTAATTGGTAAACCACGAGTATTAGTATAGAGATTTTGTGATGAATTTGATCCTAATGGAATGGAATTATTTATTGTTGTTATTGATGGATTTAAACGATTTATACCATATCTTGTTGATGTTGAATATAATTGTTTATTTGTTGTAGGTAATGGTGTTTGATAAATTGAATTGTTAATATTTGTTGAAGTTGAAATAATTGATGGTCGATTTATTGTATTTGGAGCTAATGAACGAGATCGTGTTGTACCAGTTGAATTTGTTATAGATATATCTCGTGCTGTTGGACGAGTTTGATTCGATGATAAAAATAATGTATCATCAGTCGTAGGGCTATTAATACTAGGATTAGTAAGTGTTGAAGCAAATGTTGGAGCAAGAAATGGTAATGATGCTGGTTGTTGTTGTTGTTGATTACGCAGTTGTTTGATTTCTTCAAATGCAACGTCTGGAACATGTCCAAATTGTGTTGGAATCACTGAATAGAAGACAATTAACTTATCAAAAAGCATTTATTCAATCAAAGAAGAATAAAATGAGAAGATAAAAGTTTTGCACTATTGAAGAAACATAAATATTTTTTTTGTCTATGTTCTAGTACAAAGATATGAAATTGAAAAAAATTCTCTTCATTCTTATTTTTGTAAAGTATATATAATCTGTATTTGACTGATCTGAATATATTTATGTTATATTAAAAATACTAAGATTTCTCTCTATCGAATTATTGGTGTTATATACATTAAGTTACCATGGTGTAAAACATGTTGTTAACAGGTTTATTCAATTATTTTACTATTATGATTACAATAGTTCATGTAGTTTTTTCATTTTCTAGATCAAATTGAAGCTTTTCTTATAAAGAAAATCTTTCAAATATTTGACCATACTACCAAGAATAAAATATTTGCGAATCGTATTTTTGATCGATACTTCCATGGACAGTCAACCCGCAAAAACGAACATGACACCCACACTCTCAAATACTTCGGCTATTCCTGACTGCTGCCGAGCGATAGTTGACATTTTCAAGTATTTTGACCTTTGTATTATAATTAATTGAGTAAATGTCAATATATTTTTTTACCAAATTGATTAGCGCAACGAGTTCTACATATACAAAATAAAAATCTTCTGAGAACTTTATATTTCTTGCAGTTGACTACAAATAGAAGTATCCATTAAGAATATGATTCGCAAGTAGTATCTTGTCATTAGTAGATAGCGTCAAGAGAAATTAAATTCATCTCACTTTAGTTTTCTATGTTTACAAAAGTAAAGATATAAATGTCATAGTCGCTTAATAAGAAGTAAAGTAAAATGGAATAAATTTAATTTCTTATGGATTCTTTTATTTGACAAATCTTCTTATAAGACTGTCAACAAAACAGCTATTGGGCATACATGGCCTAGATTATTCAAAATAGTCTGATATTCAATGCTATATATATATATATACATAAGTCTACGTTTTTAAATATATTTGATTATGCACTGTTAAATGTTGTCTATTATTCTAGAATCTTGTATAAATATTCGAAAAGCAAATAAATATATTCTATGAATAAATTCAAAAAAAGATCAACTTACTTTTAACACTATTTTCCTTTTTCATTTGATATTCATATGAAATAAGTTGATTCCAAAAACCTAAATTTGGAAAACAAATTGGCCGATGTCTTTTACAGAATAAATATGCATCTCGTAAAGACATATTTGTATAACGCACTAAATAAGCACAAACAATTGTTACACCTAAGCAAAAGAAATCTTACATAAACAAAAAAAAAACAAATTGTTTTTTTATTTACTTCGACTAATACCAGCCATACAATGAACAAGTACTTTATTCTGTTTATTAGCATTAATATGTGTATGTATTTTATCAGTTAATATATTAAAATAATTACTTATAGGAGCTGTTGGAAAATCAATAATATCAAATTTTTCTAATTTGATAGGTTTTGGATAAACAATAGGAGCTGATTCAACAGCAACATTCTTTTAATCGAGAGAAAAAAAAATTTAAGATTAAAATTTTCATTTTGAAAAAAATATATTTACCAATACATAAGTGATACCTAATTTTTGTACCTGTTCCACAGTTGCAGCCATTTGACCTGAACAAAAAAAATAATAATAAAATTAAGATAAGATAATATTTTCATAAGAAATAAACCTGATATATATAATTGTGGTGTTATTTCTGAAATTGACGTTAATAATGTCATTCGATTGAGATTGATCATTGCAGTTGAATTCATTAATGCCGCTGGTATTAAGAAATTTTTTTTGCTCCTTAAAAATTGAAAAATAATATTAACGATTTTAATAATGCATGAAAAAAAAATGAAATAAATGAAATATTTATTTATGCAAAATTTATGAACCTTCAAAAAATCGAAAGGGTTATTAAAAAAAAAAGAATGAAATTCATTCTATTCCACATTCCATATCTTATGATTAAGTTATTTGGCAATCCTCAATAAAAGCTTGTGTCCTAGCAACGCACAGTAAACAACAAATAATAATGTCGAAAATAAATTATCAAAATCAAATGCAATATTTATTAAACAATCAGATTTTCTTTAACTATGTTAAAAATAAATTTCTATTAAAAAAGGAATTTATTAATATGTCTTAATATGATTAGTCAATAATTATCCAATAAAAACTTTTCAAATTATACTTTGGAAATTACGGTGCATTTTTATATTGATCACATGTTCATATTGATTCGTGTGTAAAACACACGTAGAACTACGTGAGAGTGATTAAAATGGAAATGTTTCCTATATTAAAATACGTACCGCACTTCATACTTAACAAAAAAAGCTACATGTTGAATCAATGTCTGCTTTGCACTTGAATTCTCTAGTTTTAAGTACGTTAAAAAAAGTTATTAGTAGGATTTGCTGAATGTATAAAAGAGATCCAAGATAAACCTATGGCTAAGATAACATTTGAAAATAGCTAAATAAGGTCATTACTTCAGTAATGATAATTCTCATATTACTTGTGATATAATGCAAATTTCAATTGATCTGTGTCGTATCACCATCGAGAGAACGATTTTTAATCATATTATAGCTTATAAACTAATGACTGATTAGAGATCCCGTCAGACAAACTGAAATCCCTTTCAACGAATCTAAAAGCAAAGAATGACTTATGTCAAACTTCCGTTCGCTAGAGAAAAGATACACATTTATAACGATGTTTTGATATTCCATCACTTCGAAGATATCCAAATGATATCATCATCATTCAATTCTCGAGACTTCGTAGGATGTGATTGACGATTATTCAACCCACTCAAATAAATTCCAGTGAATAAAAGAAATTCCAAATTACTTTAGTAATCTTAACCATGAGCAAGAATTGGTTGAATGCAGATCATCACACTTTTTTTCTGATAAATCAATACAACAAATTAATTTGTCAATAATAAGGATTATTAGCTCGAACTTTTGAAGAAATAAAAATTTGATTTACTTTTTCTTCTGGAGCTATAGGTGCAAATCTTGATAGTCTTGATATATCCTAAGTATATCTTTCATTGTTTTGTTTTGTTTAATCGAGTTACAATTAGATTCGCCTATTAAAAATTAAATAGTTTCGAAAGGATAATTTAAATGTATTTTAAATATTAAACCAATCATTTTGCTTAATTCAATTTTAAATCGTCTAGTTTGTTTGAGGTCTTGAAAATTCAATTAACAATGTATGAAAATAATAATCAACAAGAGTTCGCAGATGATTCTTTTAAAGCAAATGATTACCATCTTCATTTTTAATACTATCCATAAAATGATGCTCGATCCTGAACAACAACGTGACTTCGTCCAAATAAAGAGAAAATAAAAAATAATTGATCAATCAATATACAGAAAAGGTTTTCAAGATGAATTTCATCCTCAATTAAAACATGATCATTCATATACACTTTCAAGGGCAAATACAAATGGTTCACAATTTTTTTTTATAACTGTTGTTCCATATCTATGGCTTGATAACAAACATATGATGTAACTTCAAATAAAATTTAGTACAAGGTTAGACAAGTAAATCTCTTTTTCTAACAAAAATTTCTTTTTATTTTCTCAAGATATTTTGTTGCCGATACACAATATTGCTTATTCTATGTTCATCAACAAATTCTCAATTAGAAGCAATTTTAAAAGGATTATTAGTAACTACGGATTGATTCTTTTTGGTTAATATAGAACTTAATTGAAATAACATAATATTTTAGTTTGTACTATTTTCTAATGATTTGTTTCATTTTTCTTTTGATTTTTACGTTTTAATAAATTATTCGAGAAAGAGTTGAATCAATTATCGATATTTAATATATTGAAAAATTTCAAGGTTCACACTTGCAGATGCATGATGATTGTGTATCTATATCTCAATCATTAGATGCTTCTATTTTAATTGAGTTTTATGACACTAAAATTCATTTACAAAACAATCAAGAAGAACATGCAGTTAGTCTCCTGGGATATGATGCTACTGTTTGAACTCTTACTATTATTTATTCACATTTGTTAGAGGGAATACACTAAATGATAGTTATTTGATTTACTGTTAAGATGAATGTAAACATGAATTCATAAGTGAATCTCATAATCAAACAATTGTAAGATGAAACTATACAACTTTGGAATTGAAGTGATGAGAGAAGCACTTGTATAATATTATCTTATTTGCTACTTTTTGATAATAAAACTTATGAATATAATGAATACATCAAATGGAATTTATTTTTTCTTTGTGTTTGAAAAAGTATTAAATGAGGTTTAATATAGAATTACTCACAATAAAAATCTATTATAAATCGTGTTTTATTCTCTGAATGAATGAATATGATGTTTATAAGATGAAATCAGTGGTGATACAAGAAATTATGGATTAAAGGGGGAATATTCCTTTCTGCTTTTGAAAGTTTAAGCGCAACTTTCTTCGATGTTGAGAAAATCTCAACTATAACCTTCATCGACTAGTAAAGATTTTGGCTATATCTTTCTCTCATTTTGCGAAGATTTTTTATAATGAAACTATTTTATTTATGAAATAACAATTGAAATTATCGAAAAATTTCATTACTTTTTACGACAAGTCAAGGTATTTTCAAAGTATCTAGAGTTTTCCAGGCAACAGATTTCAGAAGCATTAATTCAAATTTCTCAAGTAAGCGTACTAGATTTATCATTCTTGTGTCAATAATTAATAAAATATAAAAGATTTTGAAAATATTATAACAAAGAAAAGAAAGAAAGAATGAAAAATATTCCTGCCTTTCGCATATAATGATCTGTTTGATTTAAATCGAAATTGAAAGAAGAAGAAAAACAACACTCGATTTCAAATCGAAATGGAGGCTGAGGACCTTCAGAACTATTTGGTAATATATACACGTTAGAGTTGTAACTAGTGTCCGGCGTGACCAACTTTTTTGGTCACGGTCACGTCACGGTCACGAGGGGTTGATCACGGTCACGGTCACGATCACGGGCTGGGCTCACCGTGACCGTGACCGTGAGTCACGGCCCTTCTTTCTGGTTTCTCAACATGAAAAAAATCTTTCCAGAAAGAGCAATTGCAAAGCTTCCCTAGGGAAAATCTTTGATGTTTCCGTACCAGGTTCTTTATGGATTCAGTCAGCATCTTTCCAGAATTCACTCTTTTTTCCTGAGGAAATGATGAAATCCTGAAAGAAGTGTGTAGCCACGAAATTTCAAGATCCCAGCAGGATTCGAAAAAGGATTACATCAGGACCCTGACCAGGTTACCATTGTTGTTTAACCTGGAATAATTTAGAAAACAAGATGTGGTTGTGGGTATGAACAGAAGTTCTACTTGTATTAACTGACAAGAACAGTCACTGATATGCTCTCTTGTTGACTTTTCGTTGCGACGCTCCTCAGTTTTAGCTGCAAAAGTTGACTGGATCCTTGTATCAAGATCCGCATCAGATCTTGTCTAAAATTTGATAAAATCTTGAGAGAATCCTCTCCATTATCCCTGTTAGGATCCTAAGCAGGATCATGAATGAATCCTTGAAGGATCTTGTATTCATTATCTACAAACACATCTGGTCAGATACGGAAAGAAATCCTAAACAGGATCCTGTATAACTGTGAGAAATCACAGCAGCAGGAATTATCAGGAATTGAGCCGGGATCCTGTGGAAAACTTGATAAGATCTTGGAGATTTAGAATCCTGACAGATCCTTGCAAAATTTCTAAAGGAATGAACAGGATTGAGATTAGGGTTCTGTTTGCTATTAAAAGTGATGATCGGAGGAGGGTAGCTTCGCGTAGGTGTCCGTGCTTCCCCTCAGGAGTTTCCAAAATCATGAATACTAGAAACTTCCAAATTATTCATAAAAACTGATGAGCGGGTGGGAGACGGTAGCTTCGCGAAGGTCCCCTTACTCCCCCTCAGGGATTTCCAAAATTTCGAGAAAGTTCCCGTGACTGACCGTGACCAAGCTCCAGTCACGGTCACGGTCACGGTCACGATCTTTAAAAAAAGTCACGCACGGTCACGGCCGTGACCGTGACCGTGACCGTGACTCACTGATAGTCACGGCAGTCACGCCGGTCACTAGTTGTAACCAGTTAAGAAATACGAGATCGGTCTGGTCACCGACCAGGGGTGGAACCGGTTGAGAAATATTAAAACGGTTCGGTCCGGCCGGTTGAAAAATTCTACCGGTCCGGTCCGGCCGGTTGGAATCACATGTCCAACCGGTGAAATTCCGGTGAAAATCGGTTAAAAACCGGTGAAAAAATGTCAAATTTTTTTTTTGAAAACCTATTTTTAGAAAAAATGGCTCCAAATATGAAATAGTTTAAGGCGCATGTAAAAGGCACTCATCATAATAAATCTTTTTAAAGAGAACCTCAGAAAAAACGATTAATATAACATATATTTTGAGTACTTTTTCACGTATTCCGACAGAAAAAACATGTGATACCTTAGTTTTTATGGTCAAAAACAGGGTTAACAAAGAAGATTTTTGAATACTTTCAACCGGTAAAATTCTGGTCTTTACCGGCCCGGTTGATTTCTTCAACCGGTCCGGGCCGGACGGGTACCGGTTTGCCGAACCGGTTCCAACCCTGTCACCGACTGGTCTAAAAATATTTCCAGACCGGTAAAAATCGATGAATTCACAAAGTTTCTTCAAGTGATAAAGCTGATATTTGCAGGAAAATTTCGTTCTGAATACCTACCGATTTTTATGCTTCTCTT